TGCTGATTGATTGAATACAATAGGTCCAGTCTCCAAAACCAATCTATCTTCCCCTAAAATTCCAGATAAAATTGTTCCTCAATTAGATGTATTAAATCCATTTCCCACTCTGCATCAAACCCCTTGAAGAAAAACCATTTGCCACTAGTCGACCCAGAGAGTTCTCTGCTATTATATCAAAGTACAGTGTTAAGCTTCCGGGAGGTGTGTGGAGTCAGCTCTATCATTTCTGCTTGATGCCCAGGCTCTATAATTTCTGAGTCTATATTTCTTCCTGGACAGTTTATGGCTGTGAAATCACTTTTCTTCTTCTTGATGTTCTCTACCATCTGTGTTATTTCCATATCTGTATTTCTTCCCAACGAATCTGCTGCTTTAAAAATAAGTTCTTCTTGTAGGCTTAAAAAAATGTAATGTTTTTTTAAAATGTTTTGCACCAAGTTTATAAGTTCATCAAACCTTTTTGAAAAAAAATCAGCTAAGGATTGCATCTTGTTAGCCAGAGTCTGTTTTCCCCCTTGGGTGTCAGCCTCCTCCTTCTCTCTGCAATATGATCTATTGTTGGCTCAAAGCAAGGAGGGAGCAGGGAGGGAGCGAAAAAGACACGGAAGATATTTTTTGGCCATTTGATCCAAAATGTTTTTGCAAGTTAATAAAGTACAAATCCAAAGTCACATGCGTGTTTCCATATGAAAGGCAGAAATTAATGAGAACAGTAAAATAAATCAAAGAAGGAAAACAAAAAAGAAAACAGAAATAATCCAGCAGGGGTTGAAATAAATCAGCATTCAAACAGTCAATTAACATTTAAAAACAAAAAGCAAAAGCAAAAGTTCAGAAAGTGAAAATTAAAAGCCCCGGCTTGCTTACAAATAGGAAGAGGTGTAAAAGGCCCTTGACTTTTCAGCTACTCCCTCACAGGCAGTTGCAATCTTCAAGATTCCTCCTCCTGGGTGGGTCCGCAGCTGTCCAAAAGTCATCTCGGGTCTTTCCTAAGTGCCCCCATCAAATCCAGGGAGCAAGGCTGCCAAAAAACCAGCTCTGGCAGCAAACACAGCAGATCATGGGTAAGAGAAAGAAAACTCTCACCCTACAGCAGCCATTGGGGGAGGAGTCGTGTGTGAGGGTTTTTTAAGTGTATTTAGGTGTTTTGTCATATTTTTTCTTATAACTGATAAATAAAATCTATTAAATACAAAATAGTAACTTCAAATTCTCATAAACTGGATCTAGTTATTTCTGGTATGGTGCAGTCCCTGAGAAAGTCTGAACTCTTCTGTTCAACTGACACACCAAAGCTGATCCTATCCATTAGGTTGAATAGACTGGACACAGAGTTTTGTTAAAATAATTACTTGCTGAATGATATTTACTGATGATAAAGCCAACTGAACAGTGTGAAGTCAGAACATACCGTGTTTTCCCCAAAATAAGACCCAACCAGAAAATAAGCCCTAGCATGATTTTTCAGGGTGCTCGTAATATAAGCCCTACGCCAAAAATAAGCCCCAGTTAAGATAGTCAGCCAGACGTCTGTTGCAACACACGACAGATGTATTGAATTATAAAATAATATTAATATATAATTAAATGTAAATAAATATTATTAACATTAATACTTAAAATAAATGATAATATAAATTATAATTAAGTATTGTACATACTGTACCCAAGCGGGCGCCTTTGGACGAGAGGTAAAGGTACCGTATATAAACCAATGAACTTGAGACACCGTTGGCGTGCGCATAGGAGGGGCGAGCGCGCGGGGGCTGACAATGTCCAGCAGCAGCTGTAGCCCACCGGCCCCTTGGCCGGTGCACTCTGGGGCTGCGAAGCCCATGCAGCGCAGGTGAGTGGGAGAGCTGCTACCACCAGCCCGGCCCACTCCATTCCACCATCTGCTTGCCCACAGCTGCAATGGGGCAGGCGGCCGTGTGGCGTGTCTGGTGGGCCGCTGCCACCGCCGCGAAGTGAGGCGAGGCAGGTGGGGGGGGTGGAGCTGCCCCACGTGCCCCTGCACCCACACCCCTCAGGGCCCCGCAGCCAGGCCACCCCCACCCCGCCGCCTACCTCACCACGCCTCACGGCAACCGTCTGCTTGCCCTGGCGCATCCGGCAGGCCAGTGTGGCCACGAGACAAGGCAAGGGATGTGGTGGGGCCGGGTTGGCGTGGCTGCTGGGTCCCGAGGTGCACAGGTGTGGGCCGCGTGGGGCAGCTCCACCCCCCCCACCTGCGTCACCTCACCTCGTGACGGTGGCACATTTTGTCATTTTGCTGTCACATGCTTATGGATTGGGGAGAGTTATATTTCTAGTGTAACACCCTCTTTGATCATTAAAGTACAGTGAGGGGGAAAAGTATTTGATCCCCTGCTGATTTTGTACATTTGCCCACTGACAAAGAAATGATCAGTCTATAATTTTAATGGTAGGTTTATTTTAATAGTGAGAGACAGAACAACAAAAAAATACAGAAAAACACACTTCAAAAAAGTTATAAATTGATTTGTATTTTAATGAGTGAAAAAAGTAGTTGACCCCTTCGCAAAACATGACTTAGTACTTGGTGGCAAAACCCTTGTTGGCAATCACAGAGGTCAGACGTTTCTTGTAGTTGGCCACCTGGTTTGCATACATCTCAGGAGGGATTTTGTCCCATTCCTCTTTGCAGATCCTCTCCAAGTCATCAAGGTTTCGAGGCTGAGGTTTGGTAGATCAAACCTTCAGCTCCCTCCACAGATTTTCTATGGGATTAAGGTTTGGAGACTGGCTAGGCCACTCTAAGACCTTAATGTGCATATTCTTGAGCCACTCCTTTGTTCCCTTGGCCCTGTGTTTTGGGTCATTGTCATGCTGGAATACCCATCCACAACCCATTTTCAATGCCCTGGCTGAGGGAAGGAGGTTCTCACCCAAGATTTGATGGTACATGGCCCCGTCCATCGTCCCTTTGATGTGGTGAAGTTGTCCTGTCCCCTTAGCAGAAAAAAAACCCCAAAGCATAATGTTTCCACCTCCATGTTTGACGGTGGGGATGGTGTTCTTGGGGTCACAGGCAGCATTCCTCCTCCTCTAAACACGGCGAGTTGAGTTGATGCCAAAGAGCTCGATTTTGGTCCCATCTGACCACAAGATTTTCCAGTTCTCCTCTGAATCATTCAAATGTTCATTGGCAAACTTGTCCTGCCTGAATCTGCTAAGGAAAATGAGCTGGAACGGGACCCTATGGAGGTCGAGGGAGAGGTGTCTGTGGCTTCAGAGGAATGTGGGGAAGAGCAGGCCAAGGCAGGCCAGGGCCTTTCAGGATTGGCACAGGATGAACATGAGAGACAGAGCTCAGGTAATGAGCAAGGGCCACCCCCTCCTGATCCTAGAGCACGGAGAGTGGAGAGAAGGAGGGAACAACGCAGGCAGGCTTGACTACTCAGGAGGAGAGCACCCCGCCCCTCTCCACAAGGCACACCTGGAGACTGAGACTTAAGGAGACGCTGTGGGGAGGGGCATTTGTTGGGAACAAATGCTGATTTCTTGGAGTTTTGTGTGCTGTTGCTGATCTTGGAAACAACTCTCTGATCTCTTGTTCGGTGTTGTGATTTCTGCTTGGAAACCCTGAAACTCTGACCATTGGACTGGCTGACAAACTTGATTTGTGTTCAAAGACCTCGGATTGTATTTTGGCTTCTCTTCTGAAACTGCTCAGGCAAGCTTGTATTTCCACAGACTCGTTAGATTTTGGATGTATGTTTCATTCCTTGTTATCTACGTGGCCTTGAGTAAATTACTCTTCTAATCTAACTGTATGTGAAACTACTTGCAGCCAGAGGCTTCTGAAGGTGTGTGTGTCTTACTTTGTTCTGGGGCTTGCCAGAAACGTTGGAGCATTTGGGGAAAATTTGGAGCAATTAAAGGGCGGTTTGAATTGCCAGCTGACTGCATTGCCTCTGTGCCGTGCCCTAGGTCATCACAAAACTTCAAACAGACCTGTGCATGTGCTTTCTTGAGCAGAGGGACCTTGCGGGTGCTGCAGGATTTCAGTCCTTCACAGTGTAGTGTGTTACCAATTGTTTTCTTGGTGACTATGGTCCCAGCTGCCTTGAGATCATTGACAAGACCCTCCCATGTAGTTCTGGGCTGATTCCTCACCGTTCTCATGATCATTGAAACTCCACGAGGTGAGATCTTGCATGGAGCCCCAGACCGAGGGAGACTGAGTTATTTTGTGTTTCTTCCATTTGTGAATAATCGCACCAACTGTTGTCACCTTCTCACCAAGCTGCTTGGCGATAGTCTTTTAGCCCTTTCCAGCCTTGTGTAGGTCTACAATCTTGTCCCTGACATCCTTGGACAGCTCTTTGGTCTTGGCCATGGCGGAGAGTTTGGAATCTGATAGATTGATTGCTTCTGTGGACAGGTGTCTTTTACACAGGTAACAAGCTGAGAATAGGAGCACTCCCTTTAAGAGAGTGCTCCTAATCTCAGCTCGTTACCTGTATAAAAGATACCTGGGAGCCAGAAATCTTGCTGATTGATAGGGGATCAAATACTTATTTCACTCATTAAAATGCAAATCAATTTATAACTTTTTTGAAATGCGTTTTTCTGGATTTTTTGGTTGTTGTTCTGTCTCTCACTGTTAAAATAAACCTACCATTAAAATTATAGTCTGGTCATTTCTTTGTCAGTGGGCAAACGTACAAAATCAGCAGGGGATCAAATACTTTTTTCCCTCACTGTATATTCATTAGGATGTATTTTAAAAAATACACTTAATTCACCTCTGAAGCCGTTATGCAGGCAATAATTACCTTCAACCGTAAGCATGCTGTGCTGTAAAACAAAATGCCTACAGCTGCATGAGGTAATTTAGAAACCAGCTTTCTACTTCATTTTGAATTTAAAAAATAAAACTTTTTTAAGACTATGCACATTGGCTCATACTAAGAATTCCAAGTCAACATTCCAGGAAATGTGATGGAAAGACTTGTAGAAAATATACTCACAATCTCATCCCCAGGCAGCCAGTATCCTTCTTGCTCAATACCAGCTTTTGAACCCTTGCATCCCACAGTCAAGGTTTCGACAACAAGGCCATCCTTTACTGCTAAACTAAGCTGACGCATGGTCTCCTTGGGATGCATACTGTGAACTCGAGACATGTATCTACAAAGAAAACAGAAACAAGTGTTTACAAAATCATCTTAGTATCTGGATATTCTTTATAGTGTGAGTCCAACAATTTTAAAATTATGTAATGTAGTCTGGTTCTTTCCTGGTCCTTCTCCCTTCCCTTTATTTTAATATCTCTTAATGTGTTACACTGAATATACAGTATCCGTTACAAAAGGTCATTTAAAGCTCAATTGAGTAGAAAACCGAGATATAGTGAGGGAAAAAATTATTTGATCCCCTGCTGATTTTGTACATTTGTCCACTGACAAAGAAATGATCAGCCTATAATTTTAACGGTAGGTTTATTTTAACAGTGAGAGACAGAATAACAAAACAAATCCAGAAAATGCATTTCAAAAAAGTTATAAATTGATTTGCATTTTAATGAGTGAAATAAGTATTTGATCCCCTATCAATCAGCAAGATTTCTGGCTCCCAGGTATCTTTTATACAGGTAACGAGCTGAGATTAGGAGCACTCTCTTAAAGGGATTGCTACTAATCTCAGCTTGTTACCTGTATAAAAGACACCTGTCCACAGAAGCAATCAATCTATCAGATTCCAAACTCTCCACCATGGCCAAGACCAAAGAGCTGTCCAAGGATGTCAGGGACAAGATTGTAGAACTACACAAGGCTGGAATTGGCTACACAAGAGTATCGCCAAGCAGCTTGGTGAGAAGGTGACAACATTTGGTGCGATTATTCACAAATGGAAGAAACACAAAATAACTCAATCTCCCTCGGTCTGGGGCTCCATGCAAGATCTCACCTCGTGGAGTTTCAATGATAATGAGAACAGTGAGGAATCAGCCCAGAACTACACGGGAGGATATTGTCAATGATCTCAAGGCAGCTGGGACCATAGTCACCAAGAAAACAATTGGTAACACACTACGCCGTGAAGGACTGAAATCCTGCAGCGCCCGCAAGGTCCCCCTGCTCAAGAAAGTACATGTACAGGCCCGTCTGAAGTTTACCAATGAACATCTGAATGATTCAGAGGAGAACTGGGTTAAAGTGTTGTGGTCAGATGAGACCAAAATCAAGCTCTTTGGCATCAACTCAACTCGCCATGTTTGGAGGAGGAGGAATGCTGCCTGTGACCCCAAGAACACCATCCCCACCGTCAAACATGGAGGTGGAAACATTATGCTTTGGGGGTGTTTTTCTGCTAAGGGGACAGGACTTCACCACATCAAAGGGATGATGGACGGGGCCATGTACCGTCAAATCTTGGGTGAGAACCTCCTTCCCTCAGCCGGGGCACTAAAAATGGGTCGTGGATGGGTATTCCAGTATGGCAATGACCCAAAACACAGGGCCAAGGAAACAAAGGAGTGGCTCAAGAAGAACCACATTAAGGTCCTGGAGTGGCCTAGCCAGTCTCCAAACCTTAATCCCATAGAAAATCTGTGGAGGGAGCTGAAGGTTCGAGCTACCAAACCTCATCCTCGAAACCTTGATGACTTGGAGAGGATCTGCAAAGAGGAGTGGGACAAAATCCCTCCTGAGATGTGTGCAAACCTGGTGGCCAACTACAAGAAACGTCTGACCTCTGTGATTGCCAACAAGGGTTTTGCCACCAAGTACTAAGTCATGTTTTGCGAAGGGGTCAACTACTTATTTCACTCATTAAAATACAAATCAATTTATAACTTTTTTGAAATGCGTTTTTCTGGATTTTGTTGTTATTATTCTGTCTCTCACTGTTAAAATAAATCTACCATTAAAATTATAGACCGATCATTTCTCTGTCAGTGGGCAAACGTACAAAATCAGCAGGGGATCAAATATTTTTTTCCCTCACTGTACAAATGGAATCAATCCCTCAAAATTGCATGGTTCCAAACCAGGTCACAATTAAATTAGCTAAGCAAAGAAACAATTAATTTTGGTAACAAAGTTTAGTTTAGTTTAGTTTAGTTTAGTTTAGTTTAGTTTAGTTTAGTTTAGTTTAGTTTAGTTTAGTTTAGTTTAGTTTAGTTTAGTTTAGTTTAGTTTAGTTTAGTTGCCACCCATTCTCATATCCAGTGTCTCTGGTTGGCGTACAATATAAAAGCCGAACACACGGGGTGGCGGGAGGTGGTATTAAGTTTTAAATAGTCAACCACCTCCAGCATGAAGCTCCCTCATTATGTTCCCAAGTCATCTGGCAGAAGTCTTAAGGCTCTTATGAAAAGTCAGTAGGGTGGGAGCCAATCTCACCTCAGGGGGTAAGATGTTCCAGAGGGCAGGCACCATGGCAGAGAAGGTTCTTCCCCTGGATCCTGCCAGCAGAAATTCCTTGGCTGACAGGATCTGCAGTATGCCCCCTCTGCCAGCGCGGGTGGGGTGGGCCAGTCCTATTGGGGTGAGATAGTTCCTCAGGTAGACTGGCCCCATGCCATGCAGGGCTTTAAAGGTGATGACCAACACTTTGAATTGCACCCAGAAGCAAACCAGCAGCCAGTGCAACTCACAGGGCAGTGGTGTCACATGGGCCACCCTTGGGACCCCCAAAATTGCCTGCACTGCTGCACTCTGCGCCAGCTGTAGCTTCTGAATGCTCTTCAAGGGTAGCCCCATGTAGAGCGTGTTGCAATAGTCGAAACGTGAGATGACTAGGGCTTGAGTGACTGAGTGCAGGGACTCCTGATCCAGGAAAGGCTGCAACTGGTGCACAACACAAACTTGTGCAAAGGCTCTCCTAGGTGTGACTGCCACCTGCTCTTTGAACAAGAGACATGAGTTCAAAAGAAAGCCCATGTTGCAGATAGGATCTGTTTTGCTAGGGTTCAGCCAAAGCCTGTTGTCCCCCAAACAGGCCCCCACAGCCTCCAGGCATCGCGAGAGTGCAGCTACAGTATCACTTGGGTCACCAGGGGTGAAGATGTAGAGCTGAGTATCATCAGCATACTGATGATACCTCAACCCATGGTGATGGATGATCTCACTCAGCAGCTTCATGTAGATGTTAAAGAAGAGTGGAGAGAGTACTGAGCCCTGTGGCACACCACAAAATAACAGCCGAGGGCTGGATCTCTCAATGCCTATTAACACTGATTGCAACCAGCCTTGGAGAAAGGAGCCGAACAAGCACAACACTGTGCCGCCCAGCCCCCGTAACCAGCCCAAAAGGATACCATGGCCGATGGTATTGAAGGTCACTGAGAGGTCAAGGAGAGCAAGGATGGTTGTATTACCCCCATCCTGCTCTCGCCAAAGATCATCAACAAACACGACTAATGCTATTTCTGTCCCACAACCGGCCCTGAATCCTGACTGAAAGGGGTCCAGATAATTTGTTTCATCCAGGACTCTCTGAAGTTGCCAGGCCACTACCTTTTCTACAACCTTCCCTAAAAGGGAAGATTGGAAACTGGATGGAAATAGTTCAGGCAGGTGGGATCAAGTGATGGTTTTTTGAGGAGGGGGTGAACTAGGGTCTCCTTAAAGGGCCCCAGAAATGTCCCCTCCTGTAGTGATGTATTAATCAGTGCTTGAACCCACCTGCTAGTCACCGTCCTGGTGGCTTTCACCATCCAGGAAGAACAAAAATCTAACTGGCAAGTGGTGACCTCATCGGGTCCACCAGTTGCTGGGGGCAGACCATACAAATAGGCCCAGCCTCCCTGTGGAGGGGTGCAGCAAAAGAGAATCTGAGGCACATCAGGGCATGATGTGATCATGATAAGGGGGATAATGATAGATCCCCCACCAGGTTGTGTTGCCATTGCTCCAACAAGAAAATCATATCTGGTGTGTGACCACCATCCCACGTCGGATCCGTGATGATCTGGGATAGGCCCATGACCGCCATGGTGGTCATGAACTCCTGGGCTGCTTCCGAGGCCATACCCAGGGATGGCAGGTTGAAGTCTCCCAGAACCATAAGTCTGGGGAACTCCACCAAGAGCCCTGAGATGGCCTCTAGCAGGTCAGGCAGGGAGGCTGGTATGCTAGCAACAATCCCAACTGATCCTGTGAGACCAGCTTCAGAAACAAGGTCTCATAACCAGAGACTTGAGGAGCAAGGCCCCTGAAGGCCAAAAGACACTCTGATGACCACTGCCATCCCACCTCCCCTGCCTTGGGGTCTCGGCTTGTGCCAAACCCTAAACACAGCTGGACATATATCCAAGAGGGGATCTCCCTCTTCCAGAGTTACCCAGGTCTCAGTAATGCATGCCAGGTTGACTCACTCCTCAATAAGATCTTGGATAAGGGGAGTCTTATTATTGACCGACCGGGCATTCAGTAGCAGCAGCTGAACCTCAGGGCCACCGAGGGTATGCTGTCCAGGAACTGGGAATGAGCTCAGGGGGCCAGAACATACCACCAATACTACACATGGGGGTGTCTTCCCTGTAACTGCCTGCACACTGGCTCCCGTAGCACCCCATGCCCGTCACCACTCTGATGCACTGTCCTGCCCTACACCCCCAAGGTGATCATCCCCCCTCCCTGACCTCCCTCTTCCCAGAGCCAAGTGCTCTGTCATCCCCCTCCACCCACTCCCATTCACCCCCCACAAACATGTGTAAGTCATGATGCAGATGTGGTTTTTTCCAAGAAAATTCAGTCTTTGCTTTGTGGTGAGCTGGTGAAAGAAGGGAAGAATTATCCTACTATTACATAAAGAAACAGTCCAGTACTCTTTCATCTCATTTAGTCTCTGCCTATCAGTAATAAATCCAATGCTGGAGATGTCATTCCATCCATTTTGAGAGCCACAGATCTAAACATAGTGGGCAAGGATTGTCAAACAGAACTAGCCTAATAAGTTCCATTGAAGAACTGTTGAGAAACCATTCCCCTAAATCAGTTGGGAATGAAGGAAAGAGTGAGCCATAAAAATCTTTTGTCGTGGTTCCAACAGACAGAGACGAATAAAGCAGAACTCCGAGGCTTGCAAATTCCTCAAAGAACATGTTTATTAGTTACAAAGTATTGGCATGGTCAAGAGTGAAACCAAGTCTGAATACACAAGTAATAATTTCCCAATA